TTCGTGTCGTGCTGAGGCCCTAGACCCCAAATCCTGAACCGTAAACCACTGAGGATCCATGCTCATGGCCTGCCATGCTAGGGAGTGCCCTGCGTTTTCACACCTTGCTGTCAAATTTTTCTGGCCAGGCTTCTGAAAGATGACCCTCATGGTTGCCTTCTTCCGCCCCAGAAAAATCACAGGATCACAGTTGCAGGTCAAACCTACAGTGCAGGTGGATGTTGTCCCCCCAAAAACGGTATACGCATTTTCATCGCAAACAGCCAAACAAGGCTTGGATCACCTTGCGAGAACACATCAACGGCTAGGTTTGCTTCTTCCAAGCCGAAGACGTGTTGATTATCAACTCCAGTTTTCACCACCAACCCATAGCTTTTTTTGAGTAGTGCAGCAGCTCACATTGCTAATCAGGGTTTGAGGTTTAGGGTTTAGGGTTAAGGCCCAACACCTGAATCCTTCTTTTCCATCTCTTTGATTCCTGGACAGCTGCGCAGAGAAGTTGAACATGGCGTTGGGGTCGCTATCTTATTGCTATGGAAAATGTCCGGGGTTTGGGAGGGGATTCTTGTAAATACTGTTGCTACAAAGAGTTTTAGTCTTGTGATTGTTATTCTCATTACTGTCATCACTATTGCTACTTAGGTAGACCTCCCCACCCTGTAATACTGACTGTAAGACATAATGGTGATTATTTTACGGTCCGTTTATATTCCAATTATACCACTATTACAGGGTGTTGGGTCCACCAAACCTAGACGCTATACACTAAAAACTAAACCCTGAATCAAAATTAGCTTTGATTACCTTGAGCCTCAAATTGCGGATTGCGCTCTCCCGCAGAAACATGGCAGCTGGTACGGGGTCCACCTACCTTTCTTTGAATACTGTTATCACTATTCCTACCATTACCTGGACCCTGGATGTCCTTCCTTTTTGGGGGTAATGTCCCATAAATTTGTAGGGTATACCCCCAGAAAGGTAGGACATCCAGGGTCCAGGTATTGCATTATTAAACCCTAAACCCTAAACCCTAAACCCTAAACCTTAACTGTGTACTATTATTAAGTGTCTCCGCTCCGCGCTCGGCGGGTTTGTTTGTAGCAGAGGAAGGAATGTGGTATACTCCCCCTGAAGTAGATATAGGGCTTCGGGCTTACAGGGTTTAGGGTTTATAGGGTTTACAGGGTTTAGGGTTTATAGTGTTTACAGGGTTTAGGGTTTATAGGGTTTACAGGGCTTATACGGGTTCAGGTTTGTGGGGTTTAGGGTTCATAGTGCCCCTCATTAGATACAATATGGGGTATATGGGGATCTTATTATGATATTGGGCAGCTCCATATTCTATCCATTTAAGCATAGGGGATTCCATAGGAGACTGTTATAGGGTTATGAAGGGGGATACTAGGAGTTTAGACTATAGTTTAGGAGGACCCCCCACCCTGTAGTAGTGGTATAATAGGAATATATGAGGACCCTAATATAAACCTTATTATCCCTTATAGCCTCTATTACAGGGTGTGGGGTCCACCTAAACCATAGTTCATATCTTCTCTGGTCATCTGACATGGTTGTGTCCTTCCTGCCAGGCTCACATCCAGGCGCAGATCCAATTCCAGGCAGGTTCTGACATTGTGGACGGTGACCCACACGAGGTTTGGTATGGTTTGGTTTTGGGGCCATACAAGAAGGAGTCTGGTATTTTGGTTCCACCCAGATAGGTATGTGCCGGACTACAGCCAAGAAGACAGTAGGAGCGAAGGATCCTCAGCAAGGGACCAAGGAGGGGCGGAAGGCCTGGTTGGTGTGTGGGTGGTGTAGTGTTGCAAGTGGCCAAAAAGTCCTTAAGCCCCAATCCGTGAATAGTAGCTTCCATTTCCTTTCTGTTAATAATCCCTTTCTACCCCCATATTAGACAAATGAACAGGACTGGAAGCCTCATAGGCTCTGCATTGGCGGGTTCCAGGGCGCTCTCAGCATGCAAAGAAGTGGTAGGTTTTGCCATGACTGCATGCCAGCGCCATGGATGGAGACATCGACATTAGGTGGACCCCCCACCCTGTAATAGTGGTATAAATGGAATATATGAAGACCCTTATATAGTCCTTATTATCCTTACAGCCGCTATTTCAGTGTGTCGGGCCCACCTAACATTGACACATGTACTTCCCAAACACCAAGGCGCGTCTTCAAGAAGAATTATTTGATAGGTCTCTACCATGGGCTGGGTTTTTTGTTTTCCGCAGAACTCCCAGCGCCCAGTCTTGTCGCACTTGCTTGTGGCCCAAGGGTACTTAGAGCTTTTTCTTGGCAGGGTATGCAGTTTCAAAAAACAGTCAAGACACCCATGGTCATGGGCGATATTCAAAGCCTTCCTGTCTTACCCAAAGAATTATGGCGGGTATAGTGCACTGGGAATGTGGGAATGTTGGATGTCAGGAGGGTACAGTAGGGGCTGTAACATTAGGGGGAGGGGATTGATGACTTAGAAGCACATTTGGGCATGGAACAAATCCAAATAACTTGGGTTTATGCAGGTCTCTTAGCCTGTGCTGGAACAATTTAGCGCCAGGGCTGGAAAAGGTCACAGCCTGCTCATGTAAGGCTTTTGTAGAAGGATCACCAAAAAAACGAGTGCTGCTGCCATGGCCGCATTGGGCATGTAGTAACCTGGGCCAGGCCGGACCTGTGCAATAGGGTAGATAGAATATGGGGTAGATAGGGATCTTATGACAGTAGGTTTAGGGTTTAGGGTTTAGAATATGGGGTATATAGGGATCTTATTGTAATATACCCAAAGCCACATTCTATCTACTTAAAGGGGACTGTAGGTTAAGGGTTGGAGGTTTAGGTCCTCTTCAGCCAGGGGTACAGGGGATTACACAGGGAACGTGAAAGCCCCAAAAATTCTATCGAGGTTATTCTGGGAAGCTCCCGTATCGGAGGTTCTGAAAAATTGTGGGTCTTCGTCAAGGACGGATTGGGACCTGTGCGGTTGTATGCGGTCTTCAATCTAGAGGACTAGGGTGACTAGGGTTTGTCAAACCTGGCTTGGGGCTGCGGATCACATTTGGGGTCATATGGGTGGTTGTCAAAATTATGGTCCCTTTTTGGATCCTTATTATAATACGGCACCTAATATTTAGGGTACCCAAAAAAAGGGACCCTAATTTTGACATCCCCCCCATATATGTACACCTACAGAGAGCGTCACCATCAGGGCGGTTTGAATGTCTCTGAGCCTTTTTTCCTGTCTTGGATAAAATCGGTATTTCTTACCTGGACCCTCCAATGTAGTTCCTTTTTGGGTTTGGTATAGTTTTTTGGTTAGGAATCTTATTAAGACCCCCAAAAAAGGTACAACATTGGAGGGTCTAGGTAGTGCTTTGCTCGAGAAGGTTACAGGTGATGCCAAAGCACGGCCTCCAGCATTCCTTTGGGACATAACAGGGATGCCTTCCTAGCTGTTCTACATCAAAGCAACCTTTTTTTGTGGCCACCTTCATCAAAGTAACTGTATTGCAAGAGCTTCTTCACATCAGAAGCTGTGCTGTGCAAACGCCAGATGTTGTAAGAGCATCTTAAGCAAATGCCAGAATTTACAAGCAAGCATGCATTCAAAGTGGCAGGCTCGCATGAGAACCCTCCACCCAAGGGGTAAAGGGGTAAAAGCATTTTGTTGGCATGGCCTTTATGTCAGTCTCCATAATGAGAAAGCATTCAGGAGGGGAGTGGAACAGAGATGCAAGTGCAAGGGAAATCAGTATAAAGAGAGAAGACTGCAGGGCGGCGTTCCTGCTGTATAAGAATGTGGTATGTGCACAGTGTAGCGGTAGCTCAGGGAAGATCTACACGTGGATTATTAGGACTCATGGGGGAGCCTCTGAATGCAATCCCCAGTTTTGCCGATATCCAAGTACGCGGTAGGCTACGCACAAGAATTTCCACAAATGGTGGCATGGCTAATGTGGACATTCACCACCATGCCATCGTCAGCAAATTATGGATGTCGGCTGCTAATTGTCATCCTATTGCACATGGTATGTCCAAAAATGATTTTGATATGCACATGCACATCTTTTTAACATGCACATAGGAAGAGGGTAGAAAACACTCGTTCCCTTGGATATGGTGTTCCCCGAAGGGCCAGCTGCCTAGTGAAGATTGCATGAGCTCCGCACTGATCTTCATCAGAAAATCATTGAAAATCCTAAGATCTTTTGCTGGACGAGCAGGCCTCCACGACATCACACTCTCCTTCTCCGGGGTTTTTGAGCTACGGTCTAAACACCTTGAAGGAGTTATACATGGGGGTAATATAGAGGAGTATCACAGAGGTTATTAAGGGGCTACTAGGAGTTTTGACTAGCTTATTTCAGGAAGAGTTAACAGGGTATCAGGATGATGGCAATCAGAGCCCTGCCTACAAGCCTTCACTCTTGCTCCCCTAAACCTACCTAAAATCCTCCAACCCCAAACCTATAACGTTGCACCCTAGTCTCATCCCTTGACACTCTACGCCGCAAGTCTTTAAACATGCAGCGACCCTCCCAGCAGGTATGGCCGCTGAGGCGCAGCTCCCGGACACCACCACCAGCCCTCCCCTTCCGTCGGAAGGCGGGGATGAGCTGGCTGAGGAGGAGCCAGCAACAACTCAGGAGGACTTGACAGGGGATATGGGGGCTTCCCAAAATAGGGGTACCCTTTTTGGGGGTCCTCATAATAAGGACTATAGTATATTAGGGTCTATATTGGGGTCCCCCTATTTTGGGAAACTACCATATGGGGACTAAGTAGGCATTTAGTGCCTGGGCATAGAAAATGAAAAGGCTAGTGCTATGTTATTTTTACCCTGTCCGCTTACGGAAGGATGACGTTCGGGGTGTTTCTGTGTTTTTGCATTCTGTGTTGGGCCTTCGGTCAGTGGTATAATTCAGCTTCAGAATGGGCTCAGAAACCTGCATGCGTTTTTCATGTTGGGATGGCCGTTGAAGTCTGCAGAGGACCCCATGAGCCCGGCCGAACATCGGGCCGAAGATCGCCCCGAAGAGGGCGAGTCACGCCCCGAAGCCGAGGAGGCTGCGCCAACGGATGCAGAGCCGGACTCCATGCAGGCTGAAGAGGCTGAAGGTTCCCCACGCCACTGGGACGAGGAAGATGGCATGTACGTCAGAACTGGTTCTCGTGGCGAGCTCGAGGTGCTTGATGTGAATTTCTGCGGCAGGGCACAGAGACGCCTGGCCCGCCATGCTCGCAGAGCTCGAATACCTTTGGTCTCTCGGGCACTTGTGGTAGAGGAGGAGTTTGTTGATGTGGACCAGGTCACAAGCGAAGTTCACGATGCGGAGCCTGACCGTACCTTGCACATGGAGGTCTCGAGTGATGAGGCCGACGTCGCTGATATGGCCGTCGCACAACGTCCTCGACAGCATCAGCGCCCAGCAGGCGCTCCGACCCGGAGTGCGGCGCTGAGCATCAACTCAGGGCGCATGGCCCGCCTCCCTCCGAGGCCTAAAGCAAAGGCAAAGTCCAAGCGAAAAGGCCAAGCTTCTGCATCTGGTGGCTCTGCTGGCTCAGCCGGGTCTGCAGGCTCCGCAGGTTCTGTGGGTTCTGCCAGGCAGCAGGATAGCTTCGACACGCTACCTACATCTGCCACAGAACGGCTTGAGAGTGATGGCTGGGGTGCAGCTGGCTTTGAAGGCCAACCGACCTCATCCTCCTCCAGCTGGGCGTGGCCTGAGGATGATGGTCCGAGTGCCACTGCCCTGCCTGCACTGCTTCAGCTGCCACTGTCTCCGGAGCAGGCGAGTCCCGAGGAGCGGGGAAGCACGCATGTTTTTTTGGATCATTCATAGGCTCGCTTCTAAAGACTATCTTTTTTGCCATGGCTGACCTGCAGGAAGGGGTCGACAATCCGACCCTGCCGGAGTCCTGGTTCCAGGAGCCAGACGATGCGGAGGTTGCTGCTGCGCCGTCCAGCGAAGCTGCTGAAGGTACTGGCCTCTCAGTCAGACTTGGCGGGCAACAGTGTTTATGAGGATCTTTTCCTTTATCATGGCTGTTTTTCTTCTTTTTTGAAAAAGAGCCTGGGGAAGCTTCGGGACTTTGGGATCCTAAGCCCTAAATCCTAAACCCTACAACCTGAACCCCAAACCCTAAGACCTTCCGACCCAAGGGGTGGTTCAACATTCATCCTAAACATAAAAACCTAACTGAAGCACTAGCTTTCGTTTGCTTTCTGTTCCCTAACACACTCTGAACTACTGCAATCCCTATTACACGGGGTTTTGGATATTAGGGGAGGGGATTGCCCCCAAGTTACCCCTAAACTCTACACCCCAGACCCCATACCCTAAGCCCTACGCCCGAAACCCAGACCTTAACAGTGTTTACTGATTCCTGCAGTGCCATAAGGCCTCTCCGTTATCTACGTCGAGCCCGTGAGGCCCAACAAAGAAGATAGCGTTGAGGGTTTAGGGAACCAACTCATTGGGATTGAGTTTAGGGTGTAGGGTGTAGGGTTTAGGGTTAGGGATCAGAAGGACTTCCTATTGGAAAAAGAAGATGACACCTAAACCCTAAACCCTAAACCCTAAACCTTAACCAGTTGCGTGTCTAAACCTTAACCAGTATTCAGGATGTAGGGTTTAGAGGAAGGGGGCCTTGGTAAGTAGGTGTTAAAAGACCGGGATAGCTGGGGTGATTATGTGGCTTATAGGGGTTATAAGTGTACCTACTAAGTCTCCTGGATCCGCCGAGCAGGCTGGTTTATAGGGCCTTTACAGGGAAAAGGAGGTTTATGGGGCTTGAAGAGGGGATTTTGTAAAGGGGGCAGGGAGGTGTATTGGGCGTGTATAGGGGATGTTGTATGGCGGAGGGCTATTGTCCAAAATAGCCTTCTATGTAAATCTCAGGGGGCCCCCGAGCATATTCTATCTCTGGGAGGAAGGCCCAGTTAGCGCACTCCGGAGACTCCCTCTCCTTCGCTAAAACCACCCTCGACAGAAATGGCTTGCAATTTTCGGGAGGCCTGGAATGGAGCCCCGACACTGCCGCGAGTGCCATGCTGCCTTCTCCATGGGCGAACTACGCCTGCTGTCCTTTTCATTACCCTCTGAAATCCTTAGCTCCTAAATAGCCCTGAACCTCTAAACCCTAAGCCCTACACTTTACTTGAGGGGTTTAATTGAACAGCCTCCAGAAGAGCACATGCGAAACAAACAGGCAAAGCTCTCTTCGGTATAATCTTCCTATGGCCTCCTGTCCTCCTGCGCAAGCCTTGTTGTTTTAAGCATCTGGGTAGGATCCTGATTTGCCACAGGCTTTTGCTTACTGGTGGTTAGTAGGGAATGAGGGATTTTAATCCCCACATAATCCCTATAACATATATTCCCTAGTAACCCCGCGTAAGTTTGGCCTTGGGGGCTCCGGGCCGGTTTCTTCGAGCGAGGAGTGTAGTTACGTGCGAGGTGCAAGGACGGGCTTCGAAGAAAAAACAAATTCAAAGGAAGATTCGCTGTGGGACCGCAGTTTCCTTATCTTGGTCTTGCATTTTTTGAAGTTGCATTCCAAATTCTTGATTATCAGGCGCATTGAATAAAGGAGTCAGTGATTTTGAACGCTAGCAGGTTGCGTACCTGCTTTGTGAGCACGAGCGGCAATGTGTATGAAGAGTTTTCAGAGGCGTGGAGAGGCGGGCCCAACATGCGGCAAATGGATGCTGGGCTACTCAAGCCCAAGAAGCCTTCAAGTAGGTCTTTCCGCGCTCTGCGTCTGGTGTTCGTGAGAACTGAACGTGGGTGTGTACATGTTCAAGCCCATCTGCACTTTCTGGCACTTCTCACCAGAAGGTTTGATGAGGCTGCCCTCGCTAGCCAATCACGTAACACGCAGTGAAACGTTTCAAAGTTTGTTGTTTAAAAGGTTAAACCATCGCTTGGAAAGCCGTGATAAACCAGCTTAGCATCATCAACATCCTCTCCGTCATTGTGCCTCCAGCTTTCAGCCTCCCTTTCCCAAGCACTAGTAGTCCAGCTACGATGATTTTTGAGACCTTGAAATTGGTAGTTTCCCAAAATAAGGGGACCCCAGTATAGACCCCAAAATACTATAGCCCTTACTATGGAGACCCCCAAAATGGTACCATAATTTTGGGAAACCCCCAAATTGGGGGATGATTCTTCAACTTTGTAAAAATCAAAGCCCAGCCATCCTCACAGAGGCAATTCTTGAACCCTGGACCCAGCTCCTGAACCTTCCGTGCCAAAACCCTGAAGCCTACTTGGGGGGTCCCTAAACCCTAAACCCTAAATGACTTGTTGGGATCATGAGCATACATACTTAGGCCACTTGATCCTCTAAGTAAGCCCTGAACCTTGCTAGCCTAGACCCGCATACACTAAATCCTCATCCCCCAAACCCTAAGCCCTAAACTCTTGTTTGGAAAAGGGAACCCTGAACCCTAAATCCCTAAACCCCAATCTCTAAAGCCTAAATCCCTAAAGCCTAAATCCCTAAATCCTAAATCCCTAAACCCTAAACCCTGAGGCCTGGGATACACTCCTTGCGGGGTTGCGGCGGACGGCCGGCAATTTCATCCTGTTTCTAGGCCGCATGATGGGGGACACAATTTTATAGGGCTCAGGTTGGGTCAATCCACCCTCTACTTTGTAGGGTTTAGGGTTTAGGGCTTAAGGTTTAGGGTTCAGGGCTTAAGGTTTAGGGTTTAGGGCTGAAGGTTTAGGGTTTAGGTTTAGGGTTCAGGCTAGGTCAGTCCCCCCTATAGTAATAGCTTCTGAACATACGTAGAGTTCATAGGGCTTTAATATACCTACAATAGTCTCTCGTGGTAGCCATTGCTGGGTGGGGGATTGACCCAAGGCTCAGGGAACATGATGGGGGGGGGCACAGTTTAGGGTTCAGAGCTTAGGGGGCATGATGGTGCAGCGCGAAGAATAAGGGAGAAGCAAATAGAAAAGACAATGGAACATCAAATTGAAGATGGTTTATGCAGGGATATAAGACCGGATGACCGAAGCTATGGAATCTTGAACTGTCTTGTGCATAGAAAGCCCAGTAACTTTGGCAAGCTCACTGTTATTATCATTTTTCCTTTTTTTTTATTTGACATTACTACTAGTATACTTATGGCGATTATTGTTATCATTCTTACTATTTTTGCTACTCTTATTATTGTTATTGCGATTAATCCTGAGGTCTGGGTACATGCCTTCACCTGTGCGCGCAGGGCTCGCTTAGCCATCCGATTTGATGGAGTCGCCCGGCTTAGGGTTCAGGATTTAGGGTTTAGGGTTTAGGATTTAGGGTTTAGGGTTTAGGCTTTAGGGTTCAGGCTTGAGGGTTTAGGGCGCTTGGTGTTATTTCCCCCTTTCTGGCGTGTTGCGCGGCGCCCAGATGCAAAAAAAAGAGGGGCTGTATGGTTTAAGGCTTATAGTCCCCCTTAAGTAGATAGAATACGGCTTTGTGTATATGATAGTTATATACTCCACATTCTATCTACTTAAGGGGGACTGTAGAGTCGGTCATGTTGTTTAAGGGTAGTGGTTTTGGGGGTTTCAGCATCCATTCGGGCTTTAGGGGGTTGGCAGTGCGTTGAAGGGCGGGAGGGGAGAACCCTACATCCAACCCCGAATCCTACGTCCTAGGTGGACCCCTATAATAGGAATATAGGCCAGGGTTTAGGGTTTAGGGTTTAGGGTGGTATAATAGGAATCTAATAGGACTCAAATATAGTAGCTATTACTTCTTATAGGCACTATTACGGATGGGGGGTCCACCTAACCTATGTCCTAAGCCCTGAGCTCAAGCGTTTCCCTAGCTCACGCCGCCGGGCACGGAAAGACAAAAACGAGAATGCCAGTTTTGATCTTTGCTGGGTGTGGGCCAAGCGTCTGCAACCCAACAATGTCCAGTATAGGGGTATATACCTTCAAAGGGGTATAGGGTTTAGGGTGGAGGGATTAGAGTGTAGGTTTAGGGATCGGGGATGAGGGTTTCCTAAACTTAGGGGTACTTTTTTGGATAATGAGGACTATAGTATTTAGAGGTCTATATTGGTGTCCCCCTTCTTTAGGGAAACCGCCAATGTCCAACAAGCAGCGGAAGCTCTGCAAACTCGTCTTGGTATTGTCGTTTGCGGTGAGTTACGAGACTGTGGGTGCATGCCTGTAGCTTCCATGTGAGCCATAATCTAAACTCCTTAAAGAGGGTTATATAAGGGATGATATGGGGGACTACTCTAGGGATTATTAGGAGTGATAATTACAAGGAGTCTAGAGGTTCCTGTTTGAGTCTCCATTACTGGGGCAGTACCCCAGCCCTAAACCCTAAATGCATTTTTTTTAGCGATGTGAGCTGGTGGCTGCATCGCCCCAATTTGCTCTAAGCAGGCCTCGTAGTTAAGGCGGCAGCCTTGCGAACAAACCTAGGGCCCGTTGTGCGGTTAGATTGCGTCGATGCTTGGCCAGTGTTCTCATTGTTGCCCAGTGGACCTTCAGACCTTGATTGAGAACAGTTGAGAACATTTTATTGCACTTGAAGCGGGCACATGTAAGCTGCCTCAGAGTAGGCCCCTCGAGCTGTGTGCCCGCAGGCCAATGACGTGCTTTGATGCACGTGCGGGCCTGTATGGGTCCTGAAGCCTCAAAATCAGTACACACCGACAGCTGATAGGGGCTTAGGGGTTGGGTTTTGGGTTTAGGGTTTAGGGTGTGGGAGCAGGCTGGGCTGAAATCCGGAGCCCACCCTCCTCGCAACGCTCCACCAGATGCGGGTCTCCAACCCTAAGCCCTAAGCCATCAAACCCTGAAGCTACAATACACCCCAAATCTATCCAAATCTGAAAACCCTAAACCCTAATCCCTAAACCGTGCTTCTGGAATCCTGAACCCTGCTGCCAGCAAAGGAGTCCGCCAGCTTCAGCCCAGCAGTTTCGGTAGCCGACCGTAACCGCCTTGTAGAGGAGCTTCGGCAGGCCCAGGGCTCCTCCTGAAGTAGGGGGATTATGTAAGCCATAGTCTAAACTCCTTAAGGGGGGTTATATAGGGGGTTATATAGGGACTACTATAGGGCTTATTAAGGGGGATACTAGGAGTTTAGACTATGGATTATGTAGGGTTCAGGGGCTTTAGGGTTTAGGGTTGAGAGTGTAGGGTTTAGGGGCTACAGGGTTTAGGGTTTAGGGTCTATAGGGTTTAGGATTAGGGTTGAGGGTTTAGGGTTTAATCCCTTCCCCCTACTATTGAACCCTCCACCCCCCTAATATTAAATGCTCCCATTATGTTATCCTATACCACGTAACGGGGTGTTTAATGTTAGGCGGGGGTGGGTGGGTTTAATAGTATTGGGGGGAGGGGATGGGGGATAATGTAGGGTTTAGGGATTAGTGATGGATAGATAGATGGGTAGGACAGGTAGATAGACAAATATAAACACACACATGTGTATATATTTTTATGTATATATATACACATATGTGGCATATTCTTCTCACCCCCCAAGATCCACAGTGAGACGGCCTCATACGCATGGTTTGTGTCTAATGTGGAAGAGGGTGAATGTGAGGGGCATACAGCGTATACAGTTATGTATACACATATCTGTATGAAGGTTATGGGGAACATCAACTGGACCATCAAATGGAAAATCAAATGGAAACTGAAATGAAAATCCCTAAGCCCTAACCCCAAACTAGGGTTAAACTCATGCTAGGGGGAGCGGCGTATTTCGCTCGACTTGTGTCATCAATACAACTATCCCAAGCTTCCAGTTATCCTTGAAATCTCAAAGGAGTGTGCAAGATTCAGGGGTTGGGCTAAAGACGGGACTGGAAAGTCAGAAGCCTAAACCCTAAGGGGAACTGGCGGTTTTTAGCAACACATGGGGCTTGGGGTTTTGATTGACTTGCTGGCGGTTATTAGTGAATTGGAAATAAGATCAAAGTTATCCTACATGGTTTATCAGTAGGAAATGGAAAAGCAAATCCAAGCTACCCTCATCATATAGGGTTTAGGGTGTAGTGTCAATGGAGAAACGTATCCTAAAGTAGTCCCAGTACAATCCCTTGGAGCCACCCATCAGTTTTCATTCTAAGCTTGGTCTTCGTGAATTGAAGGGACGCACCCGGGGCCTTGAGATTTTTGGGCGATGTATATCATGATTCTTGGGGCCTTCTTCGCTTCATGAGACCTCTTGCATGACAGGCATCTCTCTCTTCAACATTCAGAAGGATTTGTGCCAAAAGCTTCCCCATCCAGAGCCCATCTGCTTCAGGTAGATGTGTAGCCCTTGTTCAAATGTGAGAGTTTCCAGAATATCTGGAGATCCTTCTCGAGGGTCCCTTTAACATGGATTTTAGCATATTAGCATCTATATTTTGGTTCCCTCATCTACGGAGACTACTGTGTCCTTCAGTGGCGGACCAGCCTCCTGCGCACCCCTCTGCACCGCTCCAACCCCGAACTGGGGATTCCGAAGCCCAAAGGTTTAGGGGTTACATGGGGTTATATAGGGATATATTCATTGGGATAATGGAAAAGAAAATGGAAGCTACTATAGTATCTATAGTATATAGGTTTGTAGGGCTTTAGTGTTTAGGGTTTCCTGAATCGCATTATTCCGCTGGGGCAGCAACACACTTGCTTATGCAGGTTTTTCTTTTTGAAGACAGAAAATGTTTTGGGGTTTCCATAAAGCACGGGAGCCTCATTTTAAACCCTGATATGCTACAATCCTTATTTTGCGGATCCCCAAAAGGGATCCCTAAGTTTTGGAAATTGTTTCCAGGTGCACCAGTTCCTGTCCCTGCAGCATCGCTCCCAACCGCGACAACTGTGCATCCGGCCTTGGCGTGGCTGGACTTCAAGAAGCAGGAACCCAAACAAGATTAGGGTTAGGCAACGCGGAACATGAACAGGGCCTACCCTAGTGCATAGACTATTATCCTTTCTAGAAGGGCATCGTTTGGTTTCTATGATTAAGGGATGGTAGAATTTTGGACTGTTGCACTTCCTTGGACGTGTGTGACGTGATTGTCTTTTGGATTCCGACGCATTGTGCAGAGACCTAAACCCAAAACCCATTCAATCTTGTGCTTGTCGGCGGAATCGACTCCTGGGGTTCTCCGGTGGGGCTGCTGGGACGAGTCTAGCTAGCGAGGGGCCAGCCTGCTGCAAACGGGTCAGGGGTCAGGGCTCATAGGGTTTAGGGTTCAGGGTTTAGGGTTTGAGGTTTAGGGGTCAGGGTTCGGGATGTAGGGGTCGTGTGAGGGCTGAGGGGCTATCTGGGGATTAGGCTTTGGGGGTTTAGAGTAGGGAAAAGTTCAAGCGATAGCCAGGTCGTATCCTTACCGGTACCATTGTGAATGGTATTACTGCTTAGTGATATGCCTGCCTAGAACAGTAGCACCAGTAGCCGCGCTCATAGAAATCACAGAAATGAGCAGAAGGAAACAAGATCATCGGCAGTTGTGACAGTATTTACAGGGCCAGTGTATGAGACACTTCCTTTGGGTTTCCCATTTGGGTGTGTTCAGGCATGAGCCCATTCTTGTCGGAGCACGCGAAAATCATTGCTAAACCATGCTCTAGAAGGGAACACAGTCATCCTTAGCCCCTTTGTCGACTTGACATTATCCATGGAAAATGAAGAATGCCGCATTTTCTATCAATACAACAGTCAAAGGCAGATGCGGGAGGCGTCGTCCTACTGCTATGACGACCAGGGCTACAAGCAAGATGCTTGCAACAGCCACCACCGCCGCCGCCGCCGCCGCCGCCGCCACCACCACCACCACCACCACCACCACCACAGTAATAAGCACGACAGGGAATGCTGCCGCTGCTGCTACTATTGCTGTTGCTACTGCTACGGCGGCTCC